TACCTGTATAGAAAAGTTGGGTCAAGGTCAGGATCAAGTTTAAAAGATCAGGTCCAAGTCCGGACATAAACCTGGACCTGATTATTGTTCAAATGTATTAATAACATGTTGGAACATTTTTTTAATCTTTTATTTTTATGAAGATTTACCACATTTGTGGAAAGATTGACATAACAGGTGACTATCAACTCTTCAAGATGTCAAACCTGTGACCAGACTGTAATGTTTGAACCACTCACACCGGGAAGGTCCCCTACTCTTTTCGATAAGTGTGGTGGATTCTTTAATGTGCGTGGGGAGTGGCTCTCCCCATTTAATGTCCTATCCGAGGGACGTCCGTAACCGAAGCTATTAGGTACTCTCATTTCCTGAGTGAAGTGAGGAAAGTCGTGTAAAGTGCCTTTCCCAAGGGCACAAGATCGGTGACACCGGGCAAGATTTGACCTACTGCTGCTGACCTACTAGTACTCCTAACCATGGTTGGGAGGAGTTGATGCAACAGTGTCTGGAAAGCTATATTCAACTATGTGTGACAGGGGCTTTACTTATCGTAAAAACTACTTGAAGATTTTTCCTTCACTCATCACACCTTCATTATTTTTTTATTTCCAGTTCATCTGTGACCCATCAGATCTCCAGACTGTGCAGGATAAGTTGAAGGAGCTGTGTTGTGAGAGCAGGAGTAGTTCTGTGGAGTACATCCCCACACAGACCATCCCCCTGACAGGAGACACCTTAGAACAGGCATCCGCTCTGGTCAGAGAACTGTCCGATAGAGACGACGTGCTCAAAGTCTATCACAATATAGAAGCATAGATGTTAGTTTATGTGATATCAAGGTTAAGGGCTTGAAATACTGGGTACATACAGTGTATGCACCTAAGTGCAGGTACATTGTAAAATTGGAGCTGTGCAGATATTTCTAATTATAACTGCACCTAACCTGCATTACAAAGTCATGTTTGTGCCACAGTGTACTTTATACATTGTATATACACGTACATCGTAGGTGTATGTCAATTTTTTATTATATTCTGTATTGACTGTAAAATAAAAGAAATAATGGCATTCATTTTGGTTTCTGAACAGTTTTTAGTATGATCCATACTTCTCAAAGTCTGAATGGTAGTAGGTAAAATTTGTCTGGTAATTTTTAATGTTACCTACACCAGTGCAGGTATGCAGTTATAAGTATTTTGAGATATATAGGTTACTGGATTATGTTTTTTAATCCAACAATTGCTGCTAGGAGGATCCAGACAAGATTTAGGATGACATTTATTTATTTGAAATGTTTCTTTTTTGAAATTACACAATGTAAATTTATGAGAGAAAGTTATGATACAAAAATTTAGGAGAACGGCTACTTTTAATGACATAAATGTAAAATGTTGTACTTTGGTGTCATATGGTCCTGAACTGCATAGACAAGGATTCCCATTGAAGATTTATAATTTCATTATTATTAATAATAAAGCTGAAGTGTCAAATGTGAAATCATAATGTTTATTATACAAATATGGGCCTTGAGTCAAACCAAGATAGTATTGCACAGTTTAAAAAATATAGGTTCCCAGAAATAGCCTTTCAACATGACAGAATTTGTGACACAAATCTGATTCAAATGAACACTGGTGAACTTATTGTTTTGAATTAATAACATTTTGATCATAGTCATAGGGAAACTTTCTTTCACCTAAACTTACTCATATTGTACTGTACAAGAGAGGAATTTCCATACTGCACTTTCCTTATTAAATCTAACAGTTTCCTCCTTCTACAATCAGATGGCTTCATTGTAACATTTCTAAGACCACAGCAAGTAATTTTTATGGGTGACATCAGCGCGCACATTAATTTTCGCCTGATCTTGGGGGAAAAAAGCAAATTTTGTTGCCTTCTTGATGTGGTCAACATGCCAAAAATGGGCAAAGATGTCTGTGGCCATGCCGGAAGGTGGATGGCAGATAACTATGAAGAGAAACGAGAAAACGCTCTGATTTTCTTACTTTGATGCAGTGATATGTGATGCTGGCTGTGTATATGTGATGTTCCCACTGAATCAAAACAATTTGTATTATGATTGAGTCAAACTTTAAAATGTAGGAACCTTGTTTTCTTCGGCCCGCCTTGTTTTTGTTTTGTTTTTTTTTTTTGCCCGCTTGCATTAGATTCGGAGTCTGCGGAGAATGTCATCCATAAAATTTACTTGCTGTGGCCTAAGGGCAAGTGACATTGTATAGCAGATAGATCCACTACTGCCAATGACTACTATTTACTACACACTAGTTCAGTTCACAGGTAATTACATTTGTTGTCATGGACTTAAAAAAAACAATAAAATACTTACTAATTTACATAATGTAGAGACTTGTTTTCTCTGACATTCCAAGACTTAAAGAGGCATTATGTAACATTTTTGCACCAAAAATTGCCAGATTTTAAAAAATTGAAAAAGTCTTCCTGTGATTATTAATACTTACTTCTAGTTTTCAACAATTATCTCCCATTTCTGACAGTTATGGTAGGAGCTAAAACAGCCCACATGAGGCACATTCATTTTGTGGTACCACCAGAAAATACCAGAATGTAAACAAACATGGCTGACAGCTGTGTTCCCTTCTTTTAAACACACTCGTATGGCATCATATTTTGGCACCTCCATTTTCTGAATGGTACTTAGTAACATGTATTTGCAAGGGTGTAGGGTTGATTTAATGACTTTGTATATGAATGACAAAAAATGACGTTTTGTATGGTCCTAATGCTACATCTATTCTTTGGCAGTTAGGTTACATATTAATGTTACATAATTCAGTTCATGTTGCATATTGCAGCTTTAATCATACCTGATAGGTCTTCTTTAAAAAACTAGAGAAGTAACATTTGCAAAGCAAATGCATAATGATTACCTACGGACATGGTCTGCTCTGTTAATTCTTACTCAAACACATTCACATACATGTACTACTAGTACATGGTGACAGGAGCAGAGCAGACCATAAAATTGCAACATTATGTAACCCAACACCAGTCCCCACGGTGACAGACGTCAACAAATTATGCCATTGGTCAGGTCAGAGGTCACTGGAGAAGAAGAGGAAAAAACTGAGCAAAAACAATATGTTTTCCTTCCGTAAACATAACAACATGACTTATTCTCTAATACAAGAAGCTGTCCGTCTCTGAGTCATAACCATCCGTTAGAAAGAACCTGTTTCTTAAATCTGCCACTGCCGCTTCCCCGAAACTGTACCTCCCGGAGGCCCTCCCAGTCTGCCTGCCTATGTGCGCCAGTCTGTCCCGCTCTCTCTGTATCTCGTCCTGCTGTGTTTCCCGGACCCTCTGTGTATACACCTTGATGTCATCCGACTCTGTCTCCCGAAACCGAAGCACTCTTCTTCTTTGTTCTTGTGGAAAACTGTTCAACTTTTGTTGGTCAGCTTCAGACTTAAGTCGAGTTCTTTCGCTCTTAAGCGGGACGAGCGCAACTTCGATTTTTCTCTTCTCGGCTCGGTCCCTCTCCAGCTCCTGCTCCAACTTTTCACACTTCTCTTGCTCCTGGAAGGAAATGTACAGAATCATGTCATTTCAGTGCAATGTAACGTTAGGCCACAGCAAGTAATTTTTATGGATGACATCAGCACGCGCATTAATTTTCGCCTGATTTTGGAAAAAAAAAGAAATTTTGTTGCCCTCTGACAGTGGTCAAAATGCCGAAAATGGGCAAAGATGTCTGTTGACATGCTGGAAGGTGGATGGTAGATAACTATGAAGAGAGAAGAAAAGTCTCTGAATTAATGTTTTGTTTCTTACTTTGATACAGTGATATGTGATGCTGGCTGTGTATATGTGATGTTCCCATTGAATCAAAACCATCTGTACCATGATTGAGTCTAAATTTAATATAGAAACATTGTTTTTTTCGGCCCGCATTGTTTTTTCGCCCGCTCGCATTAGCTTTGGAGTCTGCGGAGGATGTCATCCATAAAATTTACTTGCTGTGGCCTTATACGGGATGGTGTGATAATCATACGTTTATATGATGAGGCCCAGCCTATTTTATTAAGATCATGATTCCATCGTTCATTCATTTAAACAGCACCTAAAATTTGGTACAAATTAACGCCATCAGATTGACAATGTGTACAACACCATTACCGTGGTTGGCTTGTGTTCGGGAGTAATTTTTGGAACATATTCCAGGGTGAAATTTGACTCAAATTCGATTCGATTTGTAGAGAAAGGTAGGTGTGGCCTACATCTGGCCAACCTTTTCTCGATGTTCTGAATGTTTTTCTTCTTTTTTTTATATATTCTAACATATGTATTTTATTCACATGACGTGGTGACAGCACACTCAAGTTTTTTTTTAAACTTATATTAATGCCGCCACCAACACAAGGGGACAATACAATACTCATTTTCACCTGAGTGAAGTCAGGAAAGTCGTGTAAATTGCCTTTCTCGAGGGCACAAAATCGGCGGCATGTCAGGACTCGAACTCGGGACTTCTGCAGCTGGGTTCCGAGGCGAGCCCTGTGTCGCTACGCCACACGACCCCACAATGTCTGAATGTGTGACGGGCTTAACAGTAAAGTTGTACATACCTTGTCAGCAAACCTGATGAGACTGGGTTTGCACTCCAGCTCCACATGCATGTCCTCCTCTAGAATAGTCCGCTGGTACTGCTTAGTGGATAACTCTCTGTCTACTACCTTTGACTGTAGCCTGGTCTGAATGTACTTCAGTCTGTACGTCTGATATTCCTCGCTCTCCTTGTCCGCTCTTTTTCTCAAGTGTTTTCTGACGTAGTCCTTCTCGACTTGCAATTCACGCAGCCTCCGCTGGAGGGAGTTAATAGTCTTGTCCACACCGTACAGCTGAAATGTCAGTTCGTTGGATCGGTCTTCTCGCTTGAGAAGCATCTGAACTTGTTCACTGCCTCGCTGAAGTTTTTCTTCCTTACGTTTGATGCTGTGTATGACGTAACCGAGTTTCCTCTCCAAGACGGCCTGGATCTCTTCTATCTGCTCCAGTTTTGTCTGGAGAGTCCGTGAAGTTGTTCCGTCAATTTCTAACCATCTGAAATAAATTGAATATTTTATTGAACGTTGGGACACATTGAAGGAAAAGTCTGTTGTGTTTAGCAGTTAGTAAGCTGTTAACGTTGGTAACTGTACATTAGCCTTATACTGCTCTCTTCTATGCGTCCAAGACAGTCACAGATGTAAACAATGCTCTCAATGCGGATCTTCGTAATATTGAGACATGGTTGGAAACAAATGAACTGACTCTCAATGTCAATAAATGCAAAGCTATGCTCTTTGGGACCACACGTAGGCTGCAGTCAGTTACAGAACAATTGTCAGTTATCCTTCTGGCACCATTTTGGAAGTTGTTCCAGTTATAAGTACCCTTGGCGTTTGGC